GGATGGGTTGCTTCGTATTCGCCATTGTACTGACTCACTATCAATTGTGAATCGGAACAGGCGTCTATTTTTCTTGCCCCTGCCGCCTTGCACATGCGGATTCCGTCTAGTAAAGCTTCATATTCTGCCTCATTGTTTGAGGCCTGAAAACTGAAGCGTAGAGCATACTCGTACCTGTCGCCCTCTAGCGACTAACATATGACGCCTGCTCCACAACCATTTGAAGTAGAGCTTCTGTCCACATATACCTTCCAGACCTGGTCTGTAACTTGAGAGTCAGGAGGACGAGTCATCTCAACAATAAAGTCAGCAAAGGCTTGCCCCTTCACTGCTTTTCTAGGCTCGAAAGTAACTTCGAGGCTCTGTATTTCTATGGCCCATTTTATCATTCGGCCTGACGACTCCATGATGGTCAGTGGCCGCTTGATAGGTTGGTATGTATACACGACGACTGCATATGCCAAAAAGTAGGGCTTCAATTTTTTAACAGCCATGAAGAGTGCAAGACCAAATTTCTCCACTAAGGGATACCTCAACTCGGCATTTTTCAGTACATGACTGACAAAGTAGACCGGGAGCTGACAGCCGTCTCTTTCAGCAAGGAGAACAGCGCTTAACGCATGATCAGAGACGGCCAGGTACATGTAGAGTACTTCTTTGGGCAAAGGGCTGACCAGCCTCGGCAAGGAATGCAAGTGAACTTTCAATTTCTGGAAGGCCGCCTCAGCATCCGGCCCCCATTCAAACCTTGCCTTTTTCTTAATTGCCTGGAAAAAGTATAGGCATTTGTCGCCTGATTGGCTTACAAATCTTCTCAAGGCCGCCAGATAACCTGTTAACTTCTGAACCTCTCGGATGGTACGAGACGACTGCATGTCGATGACTGTCTGCACCTTCTCAGGGTTCGCCTCTATTCCTCTCTGATTGATAAGGAATCCGAGAAATTTCCCAGACTCAACTCCAAAGACACATTTCTTGGGATTGAGCATGACATGGTGCCGCCTGAGTGTGGCGAAAGTTTCTCGGAGGTCCGACAGATGATCTTTCTGAAGTTTAGACTTGACAATCATATCATCAATATATGCCTCGACATTTCTCCCAATCTGATCAAAGAACACAGTGTTTATCATTCGCTGGAAAGTGGCCGGGGCATTCTTAAGACCAAACAGCATGACCGTGTAACAGTATAACCCCTGATCAGTGACGAAGGTCGTCTTCCCCTGATCTTTCTCCCATAAAGGAATTTGATGGAAACCAGAGTAGGCGTCCATAAAGCTCATCAAAGCATGGCCGGCTGTTGAGTCGACCAGGTTATCAATTTTAGGCAGAGGGTAACTGTCTTTGGGGCACGCCTTGTTTAAGTCTGTGTAGTCTACACACATTCGCCAGGTGCCATTCGGCTTTTTAACAAGCACCACATTTGCAACCCAGTCTGGGAAGTAAAATTGCCGAATGAACCCTACATCAAGTAATTTTTTAACTTCGGCGGCTGCCGCCTGACTTCTTTCTTCGCCATGGTTCCGCTTCTTCTGCCGTACCGGCTTCTTTTTTGGATCCACGGCCAGTTTATGTACCGCCAGATCAGGACTAATGCCTGGCATTTCATGGACTTCGAATGCAAAGATGTCCTTGTATTCTTTCAATAGTTTGTGAAAGTCGTCACCCAGGTCCCTTAGAGCAGTCAACCTTGATTATTCTGTCAGGACGCGAGTCATCTAACATCAGGTCCGTATGCTCACCAGCTGGCTGAGGGCGGAATTCATCCGATCGCTCCTCTGCCAATGATTGCTATTTTCTGTCTTTTCTTGCGGCCCCTGTCTGGGACGCCTTTCTCTTCTTGCCGCCTGCTTCTTGAACAGGCGCACTTTCCTTGACATTGTCAAGGTCTATTTTTCCATCGCTCGACATAGTGGCCATAACAGTGGGCTTGACATCCGAGAGATAGCACTCTCGGGCCATCCTCTGATCTCCCCTTAGGGACCCGACTGTTCCATTATCCCTCTCAAACTTGAGCAACATAAGAGATGGGATTATAACAGCCTTGGAATTATTCAGGGTTGGTCGTCCCAGAATCATGTAGGCCGAGAGTTCTTCTACTACCAGGAACCGGACTACCATGTGTCGTCCTTCCCCTTTTTCGCCCAGGCGGATGGGTAAATCCACTCGTCCCACTGGGTGGACGACTCCTCCTCTAAACCCTACCAAAGAGTGGGATGCCGGGTGTATGCAATCAGTCTGATATTTTAGTTTCGACAGACATTTGCTACTGATGAGATCTGAGGAGCTTCCGGTATCTATGAGGATTCGGCCTACTCTCTGGTTGGCCACTTTACATTCAATAACGATAGGGTCGTCATGCAGCCCTCTTACACCTCCTAGATCTTCTTCAGTGATGACAATCTCGGGAAATGAATATTTGGAGGGCCGTTCTTGGTGAACGGAATTTACATCTAACCGTCTGATATTATCTTTGTTGCCCCTAATAGTGGGGCCGCCTCCTGAGAAGCCGCCTGCAAAGGTGTAGACGACTACATCATCTATATCGGAACTGTCGGCCTGTTGATTCTTTTTAGCCGACTGCTTTTTCAAGGAAGTGTTCCCCGTAGATTTCTTGACATAAGTGTCAAGATCACCTTGCTCAGCCAGGCGGTCCAGATACCGCATGAGACTGATGCATTCATTGGTGTGATGACCAACATCTTCATGATAATCACAGAATTTTTCTTGGTTCCGGTTGTTTGCAGAACCCTTCATGGGGACCGGCTTCTCAATTGAGATCTGTCCCTTGATTTCCTTTAGGATAAATTGGCTATCCTTGTTAAACGCATACTTTGGGGAGTATGGTTTGAATTCTTTTTTCTTTTTCTGGGCCGGCTGTTTAGAGGAATCAGCCGCCCAGACCTCTTTTCTCTTCTCGTCTTTGTTTGACGACTGTTTCTGTCGTCCTTCTCTTTTGTCGGACCTTCTCCCGTCTGACTGTTTTACCGTACTACAAAGATCAGTCGCCAGTATATAAGCTTCCGCTTCAATCAAGGCCTCTTGAAGAGTCGCCACCCTCTTTCGGACCAAATCAAATTTGAAGGTCGACCCGTCTTTGAGACCTCTGAAAAAGTCAGTATAGGCTACTTCATCCGGTAACCCTTGAATCTGTATTTTCATCAGGTTAAACCGCCTGATGTAAGAACGAAGCCCCTCCTTCTTGCCCTGTTGAATTGTTCCAAAATCAAGGGTCGTCTTCTTCTCAGGGATGTTCATGGCGAAGTTGGAGGTGAATAAGTAAGCAAGCGTCTTGAAGCTATTTACACAACCAGTCGGCAGGTTGTCGAACCATTGTTGTGCGATTCCTTTGAGAGTCGCTGGGAAACACTTGCACCAAGTGGGATCATCCAACCCTTGAAGGTACATAGGTTGGTGAATGCCATCAGATGGTCTTCTGGGTTAGTAGTGCCGTCATAGGCGCCTACTAATACATTTTTCACTTTGGCCGGTTGAGCGGCTTCAGTAATTTCCTTGGAGAAGGCCAACGGTTGTTCGCCAAGTCTAAGCAACCGTAGCTGTCAGTCCATAGGTTGGACGTTTTTTGCTACATGTCCACAAAACGGAGGTGGCTGTAAAAAATATTGTTGTTGCGGTACAAACAGTAAGTTTGGTACCGCCTGGTCGCTATGATAGCCGGACTGACGGGAGGTGCCGCCTGACTGACTCTCATGATATGACTGAGTATGCCTCATCGAGGTATTTCGCAGACTGTCTTTGAGGTTTGAAGTAGAGGCCGACTCTGACAATCAGTCACTCTTCTTCTGCTCTAGCAGTAGCCGAGCGTCTGTGTATGTTTTCCTCGACCCGTCCGCCTGAATATGACGAACAGGTTTCCTATTTCCTAGAGTAGGAAAACGGTATTTTGTGAAATCAAGGGCAGGTGGCTCCCGCTTCCTAGATTTAGGATGAGGAGTCGCCTCTCGCCCTTGAACTGGCTTCCTCTTCTGTGAAGTGGAGGGTTTCTTAGCCGACTGCTCCTTGCCCAGAGCAGGCGGCTTCTTGTTGATCAACTCTTGAATTTCTCCCTTGAAGTCCCTCATGAAGGTCATGAGTTCACTCCTTGTGATGGGAGCAGACCCATCATTCGGCTGTTGCCGAACAGGCGGTGCGCCTGCTGGCTCGCTTCCTGTATGAAGATGTTCCCGTTCCCTCCTTTCGGTATGACAGGTACGTCGGGCCCTTAGGGTCCTGTCTGAAGCTGTGTGAGCTTCAACTTCAAATTCATTCTCAGTATCGTGGTCCGACTGAAATAGAGGGTCGTCCACGGGACGTCTCTCTTCAGGAGTCGGTACAAACGTGGATGCCATCTCAGAAGTACTCTCCCCACAGACGGCGCCAAAATGTTTCGGGGTTTTCTGATGTCCTGCGGGAGAGTTACAATTCCGAGACTGGAACCGGACGCCTGTACCTGCAAAACAAACGGATGCTCCGGATGATTGGAGATCCGCCTCCGACGGTCAAGTTAGTACTTGATTAAGGAATAATTAATGCGGAAATTAAAGTGATTGGGTCTCTCTAGGTGAGAGAGTTTAATGTGTGTAATCTGCGTTTTTTTCTCTTAATGAGGATTAAGGGAGGTATTTATAACCTCGGGAAACGTGCCAATCTAGGTTTATGTTAACCTTGGGCTGATTGGGCTTCCCTCGAAAGTTGGGCCTTGGTGACCAGTTATCCCAGGTGTCATGGGAAGGACACGTGTCGTGTCGTAATTGGTCCATAGTGGACGGATCATTGCTTGACACGTGGCAGGCTCCTATTGGCCCATGTGACGCACACACGGCGGAACCTGATTGGTCCACTTGTCAGATGGTGATTGGTGGGAAAAATCCCCTAATCAATAGATATGAAGCAGTTCACTATGATGATCCCCCCCTCTGACAATCGATGCATTATAGTATAAAAACTTGAGGATCAGAATTCAAACTAACAATTCAAACAAAAAAAGACGTACAAAAACATACCAAGGTGCAAAGAACTCTACAGCCCAAACATCTTTGCTGTTCAGGAATTTCAACACTAAATCATCAAAGTTACGTGAGTTTGGTTCAACTGATGCACTAGGGCTGAGACGACTTTTCACTTGATCCTTCTGCTTTTCCATTTAAATGATCCTTCATAAGTGTCTTTACCTACACACAACTCACATATCTCAACATTTGTGTGTTCTCTTTCCAAAAATAATTCAGACTGTGCTGGCCAAATATGCATCAATAGTTTAATGCATCAACCACTTCAATTCAATCCAAGTACAACAACAATACCAAGACCAATTCAAACAACAATTCGAACAACAACAATCCAACAACACCTCAAAACCAATTCAAACAAGAAAACAACAGCCCAACACCAATTCGAATAACAACAAGTAAACAACATCCCCACCCGTACACCAATTCAAACAATAAGTAAACAACATCCGAACACCAACTCCCAAAACTGATTTCATCCTAATTTCATCGAATTACCACTAAAAAAGTGTTAGTGCTGCATGTGATCCAATAAAACCAGCACCCCCTTGTTAACAAGGCATGAGTGACACCCATTTAGAAAAAAAAAGAATACACAATAAGAACAAATGAAAATATAAGAGGCTTACTTCAACATCATCAGATCCAAGATAAGTAGATAAAACTATAAGCTAGAAAAGCTACATTCTTTCTTTCCTTGCTGTATAATTTCAATGAAATGTAGCTTAATAATTTAAGCCAAAGTACATAACAAAGTCAAAATTTTGTGAAAGAAGCAAAATTTATGACTTCAAGGAAATTCAAACAAGGATTTCTATCATCAATTAGGCTTACGTTATTGGTATTAGTAAAAAAAATTCGCAATCAAGCTTAGACTGACAAACCATTATACTGTATTTTTTCTGTGCAAACACTCCTTTCAACCCATACTACTTACATATGACTGAAAATTTACAGTAGTAATTGAAAATTTAGTTTTTGTCCTGATTGATCATGAGATTTCTGGCCCTATAATCAGTCTTACCCTCATTTCAAAACGCATGCATCTCATTACTCAAATTGGTCTATGCTCCATTACCAAAACTATATATACATATATATATGTATATATATATATATATATATATATATATACATATATATATATATATATATATATATATATATATATATATATATATATATATATGTATGTATATATATATATATATATATATATATGTATGTATATGTATATACATACATATATGTATATATACATGTATGTATGTATATACATATATGTATACATATACATATATATATATATATATATATATATACACACACACATATGTATACATATATATACATATATGTATACATACATATATATATATATACATATATATATATACATATATATATATATACATATATATATATATAATAATGTTAACATAATCCTCATAAAACCTAGGAATTCAACCGAAAAAAAACCAAAAAAATAACAATCAATGAAAATCGAAAAATATTCAGAAAACCTAGAAATTCTACCCAAAAAAAAATAAAAAATAAAAAAATTAATTAAAGTCAAAAAATATTCAGAAAACATAGAAATTAAACCCAAAAAAACCTTAAAAAAATAAGCAATTAATAAAAATCGAAAAATATTCAAAAACCTAAAAATTAACAAATGAGTACAAAAGGGGAAATTACCAGGAGAATGAAGGCATCGTCGTCTTCGTCAAGGATTCACAAAAGACACCCACAAATTGAGGCAAAATTGAAGAATCGCCATTGAATTAATGAAAATGGAATACAGAGTAGCATACCAAATTAACAAAATTGTAAGACTAAACCTTAGACAATGAAGATGATCTAAAAAAAATGGTACCACCATTGGAGGAGACAAAGGTCAGAAGCCACTGCAAGTTTTAGAGAGCACTTTTGAAACCCCTTTCGATCGAGGGTTCAAGAAGCCCCTTCAATGGAGAAATTCGAGTATGCTTCAATGGAGGAGAGAGAGAGGCAGATCAGATGAGAGAGGAGGAAAGATCGAGGAAATGAAAGCAAGAGAAAGAAAGATGAGTAATTCCGAGTTTTTTTTATTTTACAATCGAACTGGTGGCCAAATCCCTTTCTCCCTTTTTTTTTATTTTTTTTTTATTTGGCACCGGTTTGAACTGGTGCCAAAAAGATAATTTGCCATCAGTTTGGCTGGAACTGGTGCCAAAATCTTGTTTTGAAATCCCGCACGTTTTTTTAACCACCGGTTTTCAAAAACCGGTGCCAAAGGTGGGGTGCCTTTGTCATTTTTTCTACTAGTGAAGAGATATCATCGCCTTTCAACAATTCATAAATAACGGTATTGTTTGGACAAGCCAATAGTTCACGAAGAATCAAAATGGTCTCACGGCAAAAGGCGCGCGCAAGCTACTAGGTCGCGCGCGCAGCCCTGGAACTTATGCTGGGCGTGGTCGCGCAACCCAATGAGTTGCGCGCGCCACCTTTTCGAGCAGGATTTTTTTTCGAACGATGGTATTTTCTTTATTATGTTTTTCTTTTATTTTTAACGTTTTTTTATATGATATCCCTTGAACGTGACTCAAAACTATGAAGAGATAACTTCGTAGTTGAAAACCTAAATTAAGACTATAAAGGAGGAAAAAACTATCTTATACACGTCGCAAATAGTCATGTAATCACATAAGCATACAAGAAAACCATTAAATCACATAATGCTATTTTAAGGTCAAGGTTTTGGGTGTCCAAGAGTACCATATCTTAAGAAACGATGCACGAATCAATCACTCAATGTGTTAAACCATGACATAGCTCTCCCAACATTTTGTTGGCGATATGGGTGGGATGATTGTTATCGATTTTGGGATAGAAGCCTAGTGTTGGCGACCCCTAGTCAATGACTCAATCCCCAATGGTTAGAAGGTGCTTATTATGATTATGCATGATGCAATGTTTCTTGTTTGGCTTTTACTTTCGTGAAAAAGGAAGATAATATGCATTCAAGTCTCGATCTCTAACTAGATATTATCCAAGTTAGCCCTCGTTACAACTCATAGGTGACCTAAGTTGGAAACCTTAAACCGTAACTAAGAACTAATCTTGTAACCTCTAAGTCCCCAGTAGAGTTGCCACTGTGAGGAGGGTTTGCCCATCGTAGGGGATCCTTCTCCACTATGCCCATGACCCTTTAAAAGCCAAGGACGTTACACTTTTTAGGGTGTGTTAGGATTTGAATTCCTGACTGTTTGGGGGACCTTGAATTAGAGTTGATCCTATCATTACGCTTTTTTGTAAGAAACTAATAAAGGAGTCGCCAATGAGTTTTAGGAAAACTCATAAACCTCGTTCATGCCTTTCTCCCAAATAGGGTTCAAGGGATATTTAACATGAATAATAAGTTTACCTCTACTTGTACCAGAAATGAGCTCGGGAGCGAGGGTACTAAGATAACGTTCCTTTTAGAGAGGAATCGTTATTCTAGCCCAAGTGCGACCTCTACTAGCTCTTCCTTTTTCACAATTTCATTACCAAACAATATATGCAACGTGATAACTAAAACAAAGTTAGTTTGTTTTATTTACACGCATCAATCACATAAAGATTACATTGCAACGAATGTTGTTATTCTTTGTTATTCAAATTCGTGAAAAGAACAAGAAATAAACAATATTCGCCTTGACTTAAGTGATAAAACAACAATTAATTATTCAAATTCTAGTCTTGAATTAACGCAAGATACTATGTGAAATTAATTAATTAAAGTTTGTTTTAGGTGATCAAGCAACACTAATTAGTTGATTAAAAGTTGTTTAAGCAAAAAAAGAAAGGTGATTTATCTAAGTGCTCGGGAATTTTACCACTTTTCCTTGCTAAATCTTAGTTTAGAACACTTATGGACTCCTTGTTCAGGAACCTCCACCGTAAGAATAAATAATAAAGGGGTGAGTGTTTAGGACAAGGGGATGATTAGAGCGTTAGTTTACAAGTTTCTGCTGACTTTTAAGGTTAATATCTGTGTGCTTTAAAGCTCATATTGAACCCCTATTTATAGGAAATGGGTGAGTTTAGGGTTTTGAACATTTTACCACATTAGGTGGCGTGCACAACTTAACAGGTTACGTGCGGATGCTGCGCGCAAGTGATTAGCCGCACTGCACTGGGCGGGGCAACCTATGATCTTGCGCGTGGCTTTATGGTAAGATTCGATTCAGTATTTTCATGAAATTCCGAATCTTTCGCAAGCGCATCACTGGAGGCTGCACTGGGTGTCACGCGCAACTTTGTGAGTTGCGTGCAGTTTTTCCTGCGACAGCCTTAAATTTTAACCTAGGTGCTTCTAAATCCATCAAAATTAGGTTTAATTTCGGGATTAGGCCTAATTACTGATCGAGCTTAGTATTAACAAGATTTAGTTCATTTCATTTTGGGTTAAGCTAGTTGGTATATATGTTTAGGTCTTTAGTTTGTAATTCATAAGGATTCTTCACTCCAATCCAACACAAAGATGGAATTATTTATCGTCATAGCACTTCCGGTTGGGACAGGGGACCAAAAGTAGATGTCTACATAGCCACAAATTTTCAAAAATATTTTTTTTACTTGTAATATGTCACAGTCGAAGTACCGTCCTAATGATAATTCAACTCTTACTAAAAACTCTACAATGCGCAATCAATCTAGCGTTGAATACTCCGCAAGCACAAAACGCTAAAATATTCCAAACGTATCCCCACCTTTTTATTTTTTTGCAATTGCACGAGTTGGTAATATCCGTGAACGTTCTTGGGAAATATCCTTATTTTTTTTCGTAGAAACGCCGAATATTTTTCGTTTACTTTGCAAACGCCGAATATTTTTCGTTTATTTTGCAAAGAAACAAAAACCTCAAATGTTTTAACCTTAGACATTCGAAAAGTCTAGGCATATCTACCTTTTTTGTATTAAACTAAACGAAAACTTTTTTTTGACCTTTCAAATTAAAATTTATGAAATAATAACAATAATAATAATAATAATAATAGTAATAATAATAATAGTAATAATAGTAATAATAATAACAACAAAAACAAAAATAATAATAATAATAATAGTAATAGTAATAGTAATAGTAATAGTAATAGTAATAGTAATAGTAATAGTAATAGTAATAGTAATAGTAATAGTAATAGTAATAGTAATAATAGTAATAATAATAACAACAACAACAACAATAATAATAATAATAATAATAATAATAATAGTAATAGTAATAGTAATAGTAATAGTTATAATAATAATAATAATAATAATAATAATAAGAATAAGAATAATAACAATAATAATAATAATAATAATAATAATAACAAAAATAATAACACTAGTAATAATAATAATAGTATTAATAATAATAATAATAATAATAATAATAAAAGTAGACATTATGACAAATCCAACAACATATTATGTATTATATTTTTAATATACCCGGCCCCAAAAGGAGAAGGAGGTGGCGGTTGAAGGTATCAAAAATTTTAATCCTTTGCCTTACCCTGGTAGGGTCAAGTTCCAATAGCAGTTGACCAGTACCTCTGAAAGCAGTCGGTCTATTGGTCGAATATACACCAAGTACTTAAAAAACGTTGATTGTGCAGATGCCCCTTAGAGGCCAGATCTTTAACAGCTGGCCATGACCACGCTGAGAGTCGTCTCCCTTGAAGACAGGGAGTCGGTCAGGGGAGTCGACACCCTCAATTTGGATGTCATCCTCGCTCTTCTAAATGAGTTATACTTGTGATTTTTTACCCCCCTCTTTTACAACTCATAGAGCTGCTTGTTAGTGACGTTTGCTTTCCTGCCGAATGCAGTCTATGCTGCGAGTGTATGGCCTCCGCAAGCCCCTGAAAGAGAAGACGAAAGAGGTAAAAGGTGTGAAGGCTCAGGCCGCCTCTTCTCTAGATACGGCCATGTTTCAGATTGCTCAAAATGAAATATTGACGACTGACATACTATATTCACAGGCGACCGCCAACCTACAGGTCAAGGCTGATTAAGACGCTGCGAAGAGGCGGGTCTTTGAGTTGGAGCAGCAGGTCAAGGACCTCAAGGCCAAGCTCGAGCCTCTCAAATAGGCGGAGAAGGAAAAAGATGGCCTTCGTACTCGTGTGGAAAACTGAAATAGCGGTTGGCTAACCAGGAAGTCCAGCTTGCCAAAAAATACACTTCTAGAGCTAAGGAGGAAAAGCAGGCCTTGGTCAAAGACATGATGGACGACTGCAACGTCATCATAGAGATGACTTGGGCTACTCTTTTCCCGGACGCCAGCTATGAGGGTTGGAAGAATCAGTTTGCCGCCTCTACTCAAGAGTACAATGACAAAATCATGGGCCAAGCTCAAGATGGAGAAGAGGAGGAGGGTGAGTCATCTGATTCGGCTGATGGGTCTTGTCAAGAGGAGGAACAAGATGCTGAAAAGGAACATCTGACTGGCGAAAAGGATGTGGCTGTTGATGCTGAGAAGCCCCCTCTTGATGCTTAAGCTTTAGGGTATCTTTCTACGGCCGGATGGCCATGTATTTCTATTCTCGGCCTGCGTGCCGCTTACTTTGTATCTTTACCGACCGATGGGTCGGGTTTATCAATAATTGCCGGTTATACTAGTTAACTCTCTTTTGTCGGTCATAAGACCGACTGTATTTATGAATCATCCGACCATTTGGCCGGTTTCTTCAATTGATACCTGCTTTATATTTATTTTAATTTTTTTTTTGCATTTCATAAATTTTGCTAAGTATAGCTTGCCTATGAATGCTTTTTCATTACACCGACTGTTTTTGCCCCTAGGCGGCTGTGCGCCTGGTTTTCAAAGGTGAATTGATTGACTTGGAAATTTTTGGTACTGTAAAGGGTATGAATGGTTTCCAGGTCAATCAATCACTATGGTGATTGCCCCAAACCAGGCGGACAGTCGGCCATCAGGCAGGCGGGTAAGTATTATCCAGCCATAGAATATTGTAGTTCTGAAAAGAACTAAGTATAGCTGCTAAGTTTATTACTTAGATTAAATAGTTGATTTAGAATAGACCGTTTGAATGATACCTTGGCAACAACATGCATCAAACGGGACATCTAACCAAGATAGCAGCCGCTTGTTCAATACAGGCGGTCGCTTTAATTATCTTAGCTTTGTAAACCTAAGTAGGAAAAGTGGCCGAATACCGACTGGTATCAATAAGACAGGCGGTTTCGCTCGTCCCTTTTAGGTTCCATTTTGGGTTTTTCTGGTCAGACGACTGTGAGTTAACCCTTTGGGTTAAATCAGTCTTTGTCGCTTGATTTTAAA